GGGAGGAGGGGACAGCTGCGGGCGCGGGGAGGGGGCACCTTGCGGCGGGGGCTATGGCCGAGCCCGGAATCCAAGAGCCCGAAACCCGGGTAACTGCTGCGGTGTCGGGCTTGATTGCTTTAGGGGGAGGCCCATTGTTGGGGCGCGGTGCGGGGCTCCTTGCGGGGCCTGAGCGGAGGTGGGGGCTGCAGTCTCGGAGCGAAGGCCGGCCCTTGGGTTTGCCCTAAGAATGGCTGTCGGCAGCAGCTTGGGGCGCGGTGCAGGGTGGGGTCGGTGTGAGTGGCGGGTCGGGAGCCGTGGGTGGGGAAGGGGGACACCTGGTGCCACCAGAAACGACAAGAAAGAGGGAGGAGGGACTAATAAACCTGACGGATAAGCTAGGGAGAGGCCAACTGACCCAGAGGTGCCAGGAGGAGAAACTGCTTAGCAAAGAACTTGCTGGAGTAAAATGAAACTAACTTTTGTCAGGGCCTGCGTGGTGAGGCACTTTTCTCCTAGGGGTGTTACCTAGGTCCCACAATAACCCAGCTCGGAAGGCCAGAAACTTATTTAAAGACCAGAGAGAGAGGTTGGGCTGGTTGCCCCGGGCACTCGGTGTGGAGGCCAGGCTGTGTTAGATCTGAAGCCCACGTGGCACCGGCTGCCTTTGCTTACCTTGCCAATCTCTGCCTTTGCTTACCTTGCCAATCTGGAGGCCTCATACTTTTAAAAATAATTGCCTTTGTTGTTGTTTTTTAATTTAATTGTAAGTTTATATACTTTAATTTTTAACAACCTGTTAGCATAATTACTGAAAATCTAACAACTGGGGGGCTGCACTGCCCTCCCTACTCAGCTTTTGCACATGCTGTTACAAGTGCCTGGAGTGCTTTCCTCAGCCCCCTTTAAAATTTTTGTTTTAGTCTGAAATAATTATATTCTCTCAGGAAGCTGCAAAAAGCCATGCTTTGATGAGCATTTATGCAGTGAATCCTCTGAGCTTTGTGCTTTGCAGGGAGGCAGAGAACCCAGGAAGGACAAGGCTGGAGAAGTCCTTGAGGAATGCCCAGGCTGATGGGAGCCCCACTCTTCCCAGGGCTCACCCAGATGGCAGCCTGGGGCTCACACTTCCCTTGTGCGGTTGTTTACACTCCTGAGATGGGCCTGGGGCTATCCTGTATGTCCTGGAGTCCTTCACTCCCAGAACACCCCCAACGGCACTGGTCCAGGCCTGCTGAGCACACAGGAACCTGATCTCTACCCTTCAGTGACACAGGGCCTGCCCTCCCAGACCCTCTACCTCCCAGTCTTCTGTGGGAGCTGCCAATCCAGCAGGGAGGGTGGGACAGGATGACTTCAAGTCCCACCTAGTCCTAAAACTATGATTCTAGATTTGTGCATGTCCATTCGAAGGCCCCTTTACGAGAGTAACTTTGAAAAGAAAATGGGATTTTTATTAAGCCACTTTGAATGATTATTAACACCAGTTATATGCATCATCATGGTCCTCTACATTCATTATTTAATCTTTGCTAAAAGAGGTGAGGCTTGGAAGACCCTTTATAGGAAATGGAAACAGTCCAGGGAGCCTAACATGCCCACCCTCATATAACCTTTTAAGCTGAAGAGTAGCATTTGCACTGGCTTGT